TAGAAGCAAATGCAACGAAACAAAGTTTTCTTGGCTGCAGCAAGAAGATGGACGAAGAGACATGGCGACGTGTGCTTGGAATGAGTGGTTGTTGCCCCGACGACTGGGAGCCAAGCAAGTTCGAGCCCCATTCGTCCTTCTGGGCGGACTCGTCGAATGAGTTCGAGTGGCAGTTCTTGAGTCTTGAGTGCGTCGCCTGAATGGGCCTAGCTCTGCTTGCGCGGATCTACCGACAAGACCTCTGAGCGACGTTGGTACTCTGCGCTCCTCTTTAACCCTCAACGCTCCGTTCGACGGAAGATTGGCGCCCACACAAGTTAATGGGATGTGTCACGACGAGGTGAAATGTCTCTGTGAAAAATACATTTTGAGCATGGCAACACTGAGGTGGGGCTAGATTAGAAATGAGTGTGTGTGTGTGTGTGTTGTGTGTGTGTATTGGTACCTCAGTACAACCGGCTTTAGAGTGTTCGAGAGAGATGTAGTGCGAATACGAATCGAAATAACAGCGAATTTCTTGTAAAATACTTGAAATGTATGCAACGTTCATTTATGTTGAGTTGACTTTCACTTTGTGTGAAGGTGTGCACTTGAGAGGATGACCCGGGCCACTCTCTTCAGAAGACCGCGACGGACTGGCCTCGGACTGCTGTCGATTGGCGGGAAAGTGACGAGCTCTCGTGCGTCTTACCACTTGACGGACCTCATCGAGCCAGGATCACATTCTTACTTCCACGTTAGGCCTACAGTGAATCAAGAAAACCAACTTTTCGGGATATTTTCCTTTCGCATGCAAGTGCATGAAGAAGTGATCGGTAGTTTTGCCTCACCAGAAGACGACAATTGAATCGCGTTGCACTGCAGACGTCTGGCTTTCCTACAACGTTCAGGTTGACGCAGTCCACGAACTGAGATTCGCTTCTGTCATGTCATGAACATCATCAGACCTGGGGCTCATTCTTGCTGAATTCTCATGGTAACACCAGGTCAAGAAGACCATCCGGATTTACATTACCTTTTTTATGTGAAATGAATAGCTATAGACAGCTATAGGATATTCGTATTAGAGTAGGCTTTCGAGACTACCAGTAAATCAGTGTAATGAGATGTATTCACCCTATTTCGTGTAAGGTGATG